GGCTGCACTGAGCAACACCAGAAAATAAGCAGGTATTTGATGTTCTTTCTGCAATTAATATTCCATGTAAATTGCTTTTCCCTCTAACACTGAGGATTTGGAGATGAGAACAGACTTGTGTTATGTCACACTTGAAATTCAGGGGGTAGAAATACCTGACTTGAAGTGCTAAACCAAAGGAAAATATTGGGGGGTGGGGGAACTTGAATTAATCCACATGGTTTATATTTTAACTTGGACCAAAACATTTCCATTTTCTGCTCTGAAATGCTCAACTTCAAGCCTGAATGTTCCTTTTCATGTTTAAAGAGTCAGTGAAATTTCCAAAAGTATTTGAAAACTGAGATAGATGAAAAATTCCTCTCTATGATGACCAAAAAAAAAAATCAAATCAAGGGATGTTAGAAGGCATTTAAAAATGTTTTGAGGTGTAGTGTCTTGGCTGGAAACTTCTGTTTGATGTCTTGAAATGTCCTTTTGGTATCAGGGAACATGGAATAGTCAGGAAGAGTGTGATTTGCAGCAGGAGGTTGAAGATTTGAAGTGGGAGGGTTTTCTCACTTGTGCTTCAAGTGGATTGAGTTTCAAATCTTATCATCAAGCTTTAATTGAGGGTATTTTAAAATGATTGATACCCTGTAGTAGATGTTCATATTTTAACAGGCTCTGAGGTGCAAACCAGTGGCAACTGGTTTGAATAGTCTTTGAGTAGGCAAGGTTAGGATTTAAAAAATCATCAATAAGTGGATCATGGCATGCAAATGAACCACTGAGATACAGGTAGATCCTTATGTAACCCAATCTCTGTCTCTATTTATCTCCCTGAAAAACAAAAAGAGTCTTAATTTCTAATTCAGGGGTTGTGGCAACGTGGTGGGTTTGGGACTTGAGTAAATGTTGGATGTGAATTCCACAGCAGTAATTAATGTAATTGTTTTAAGAGAAGACAAACCAAGCTCCTCTGTTTCAGGACTTTGTCCTCAACTGCAGATGACCAAAAAAACCAAACAAAACCCAACCAACCCCCCCAAAAAAACCCCCTCGAATCAAACAAATTCTTTGTTTTTACACAGAGGTGCAAAAACTGTGTTGAGATCTGGGTTTATATATATGTTTAATTATTTTTATATATTTAATATACATGAAATATATAAAAATATAAATAAAAAATAAAGGCCCTGTGAGCAATTGAGTGAAAACACAAGAGTTTTTATAGCTTGGATTGGGAGGTTTTGCACCCATGTCTCACCAGGAGAAGCTCATGAATAAACCCATGTCATCCATTGCCACCTCTGCTTTGTAAGATTAAAATCTTCTCAATAACAAATGGGAAATAATTATAAAGTGGGTTGTTTGGGTGTTTTTTTTTTCATTCATGTATCATCTCTTCTTGTAGATCTACACGAGCTTTTGCTGCTGTCTAAAAGACACTAAACCATCTGCTGCTAGGATCTCCTCCTTACCTGGGTGCAGATGTTTGCATCCAAAAAAAAATATGGAAAATATTAAAAGAAAGGTGTTTCTTTAAATTAGGTCTCATATTCCTGTTGATTTGAATTACAAAAAGCCCATGACTTCCTTCTGGGAGGGAGTGGTGAAAAGGGGTGGCACACACGAAGGGGTTGGTGTTGGTTCGGGCTGGAATGAAGCAAATTTGGCCCTTAGCTGTTTTAAAAGCTCCATCAATCATTGCCCTTGCACATTTTACAACCAGTCTGTGTTTTTATCTGTAAAAGGTGTAAACAAGCAGGTTGTGCACACCAAGATCCAGCACAGCTCCCTGTTCAGGAAGTTTGTTGTAGAGGTGCCGAGACGGGTCCTCCCGAAATCATCATGAAACTGGCAGCTGATTCTGGATTTAAAAAGCTATCAGGGGATTTGGTTCTGGATTGGAGGTGCTCTGTTTGGCTTTCTCAATTGGGAAGATGAGGCTCAGTTCCTGTCAGGAGTGTGTTCAGCCCTTCTCTGTTGACTGGAAGATGAGTCAAACCGCCCTGTTCTGCGCTCACGTTGCGTGGAGGTCGACGATTATTCACGGGGCCACGAGAGCAGAGAAAGATGCTCTTTGCAAGGAGTTAATCAAACCCACATCAGGCTAAAATCAGAGCCTGTCAGGCTCTGATGAAGATGGCTTAACCAGTGATGGATTGATCTTGTGGAGTCACACGAAACGCTGAAGGATTTTAGGCATTCCTTGCTGAGATAATTCCAGGTTCGGTGTCTCTCTGTGGTGCTGTGTGTGTTTGCTGTTCCCTGCTAGCAACAATAGAAAGGAAATTGCTTTTGGCAGTGATAGCTCTGCAGAGTTTAGGGGAAGCCAGAGTAAAGTACTTACATAGTGGACAAGAGCTTCAGGTCCAATTTTCTTGGTTTTCACCTTGGTTTTTTTGCTGCTGTTTTCCTAAATGGACACCTCGCTGCTCAGCGGCTGCTGTCAGGAGTGTGTTCAGCCCTTCTCTGTTGACTGGAAGATGAGTCAAACCGCCCTGTTCTGCGCTCACGTTGCGTGGAGGTCGACGATTATTCACGGGGCCACGAGAGCAGAGAAAGATGCTCTTTGCAAGGAGTTAATCAAACCCACATCAGGCTAAAATCAGAGCCTGTCAGGCTCTGATGAAGATGGCTTAACCAGTGATGGATTGATCTTGTGGAGTCACACGAAACGCTGAAGGATTTTAGGCATTCCTTGCTGAGATAATTCCAGGTTCGGTGTCTCTCTGTGGTGCTGTGTGTGTTTGCTGTTCCCTGCTAGCAACAATAGAAAGGAAATTGCTTTTGGCAGTGATAGCTCTGCAGAGTTTAGGGGAAGCCAGAGTAAAGTACTTACATAGTGGACAAGAGCTTCAGGTCCAATTTTCTTGGTTTTCACCTTGGTTTTTTTGCTGCTGTTTTCCTAAATGGACACCTCGCTGCTCAGCGGCTGCTGCAGCCGCAAGGTTGAGGTCAAGAAGGGTGTGGATTCATCTCCAGAGTTTTAGAAACTTTTGCTTCTTTAATGGTAGTTTGATGGTTCAAAGAACTCTTTGGACTCATTCTGTCTTAGAGAGATGTCCTCATTTTCTGCAGGAGGAGCTTAGACACCTATGCAGTCACCTGAAACGAATCGTAGAATAGAATAATAGAATCAGTTTGGTTGGAAAAGAGCTTTAAGTTCATCCAGTCCCACCATCACCCCCAGCCCTGCCAAGGCCAGCCCTGCCCCATGTCCCTCAGCACCACATCTACATGGCTTGGAAACCCCTCCAGGGATGGGGACTCCAGCCCTGCCCTGGGCAGCCTGGGCCAGGGCCTGACAACCCTGGCCAGCAAGAAATGCTGCCCAACATCCCAGCTCAGCCTCCCCTGGCACCACTGCAGCCCATTTCCTCTTGTCCCATCCCTTGTTCCTGGGGAGCAGAGCCCGACCCCCCTGGCTCCAACCTCCTCTCAGGCAGCTGCAGAGCCAGAAGGTCTCCCCTCAGCCTCCTTTGCTCCAGCCTGGACACCCCCAGCTCCCTCAGCTGCTCCTCCTCACCCTTGTGCTCCAGACCCTGCCCCAGCTCCCTTGCCCTTCTCTGGACACACTCCAGCCCCTCCATGTCCTCCTTTTAGAGAGGGGCCCAATGTAAATATGCAGCTCTGGGCATGGGGCTGATCATAGCACAAGTTTCTAAATATGAAACAGGTTGTGATGCAAAAGAGGTGCCAGGATGTTGTGCTCCACCAGGAGGGTGGATATTTGATGGAGGAACCACAGATCAGGGTGTCTTGTGGCAGAGTTGAAAGCTTCTACTGATCCTCAGGTGACAAAAGAATGAATAATGGGGTTTTTCTCCATTGCTGTGTTTGATTTAAGTACTAGAACTCAACTGGAAAAGCCTCTTAGGTTTGTGTGTCTTTAGTCTTGCCCGTGGTACTTTTCTAGACATGTTTACCTACTTGCAGCCCTCATTAGAAGAAGACAAAGCACTTATGCTCATGAGTCAACATAGAGAACAGCCCAAGTGCCCCAATCTGCTCACTCTGATCAAAATAGTGGTGTCATTGTAATGTAAGTGTAGACAGAATTACACTTGAGCCTGATGTTTGCACATTTTTTGGATCAGTGGCCCATGACTAAGGACCCAAATCAGAACCTCGGTGCAAATAATGGCTCACAACTTGGCAGCCAAAAGAGCTGAGGCTGTGGCTTTAGGATTTCCTTTCAACACCTCATTAGTCTGGAAATGCCACTGGGAAGTGCCTTAATTCCTTCTGATTTGGGGTTGCTCCTAATAAGTGAGAGGTAATGATATTTGTTGGTAATAACAGGGATGGCTTTTAATAATAATTTAGGGATAATAGAAGAAAATGCTGCTGCTCAGTGAACATTGTGCTCTTCTTCACAAGCTCTTTAGATAAAACAACAGTGTTAATGAGCCCACAGTTAATTAATGCTGCTAATACATTCCCCAGTGTGTGCTTAGGGACTGACCATAGAAGATTTGCAATCATACAAAAAGAACAAATTCTTTTTGTTTCGAGAGCAGTGGTGAAAAACCTGCTTTTTGGGGCTGGTGTGGCCTGGGCAAAATGAATCTTGTCCATCCTGTTTGTCTTCAGAAGAAAACCATGTGAAATCACTGAGAATCAGAACCACTGAGCACTGAAATGATTGTTAAATAAAGAACATACTCTTTTTTTTTTCCCCCTGTGTGTGTTGATGAGTCGTTTTCAGGTGGGCTTGGTGGGCGACCCCCACCAAGAACTCTAGAATTGCCTCTGCAATGCATGTTGCTGCTTGAAGCTGCAGGTTGGCTGAGGAAGGTGCATCTTGTGGTGTTGATGTGTGGGAAAGTGTCACTCTGAGTTTTTCTCTCTCTCTCTTTTCCCTCCCCTTGTCGTTTGCTCGACGCCCCTTCCGTGCCACCTTGGCCCTTTGTTTTCTAACCCCTCAGCCGTGGCCACCACGGCACCTCCTGTCTTCCTGGACTCTCCCGTGCCACCAACCTCTCTGACTGCCTCCTCTCCTTCCCCTCCAGCTGTCCCAAGCTCCAGTGTCCTCCCCTCTGCCCCCCGAGATGTGGTCCCTGTGTTGGTCTCCAGCCGCTTTGTCCGTCTCAGCTGGCGCCCGCCCGCGGAAGCCAGAGGCAACGTCCACACCTACACGGTCTTCTTCTCCAGGGATGGCATCAACAGGTAGGCAGCAACAGGTCTCCTCTGGATGGGGGGGGGGTGAGGGGATCCCAAAGATCTTCACAAACGTCTTGCAAACGGGGCTCAACATCGTGGTGTTCCCCCCGTGGTAAAAGAAGTGCAGAGCTGGAAATGCCTTTTGCTGCTGGGTGGTTTTTGGAGACATCATCTCAGTGGTGCTCCAAGTGCTCACTGGCCTGGTGTGAAGGACCACCAGGTGGTCCTAACTGTGATGTCTAAGGATCTTGCCTCCTCCAGGTATTACTGGCAGGGAGAGAGCTGGGTAGATTATACCTCACTGCAGGTACAATGGACCAGCTTGTCCTACCCACGTGAAGCTGCCCAGCAGATAGCTCTTTTGTGACCATGGCTCTAGAGTTTGTTTGGTGGCTGCATGGTTCTTCATCCTCTATGCTCATTTCACACTGGAAAAGCTCCTGCATGTGTACTTGTTTGGGTTTATTTTCCTAACTTCGTAAGTGGTTTTATGCCTGAGAAACATCTTCTCTTTTCCTCTTCCTCATCGCTGTGAAGAGCTCACTTCAGGTGTCCTGGTCTTTGTTCTACTGCACTTAGGGTTCACTTCAGGTACTAGGACTTGTGTGTGTGCTGGTGGCAGCTCAGCTGCTGAGGGGACTTGAGCAGGAATCTTGTTTTAATTGAAAAATGGGTCTGAAAGGTCCTTTCCAACCTGAATGATTCTATATATAAGGAATTTCTTTGTAAAATCTCATCTCAATCTCCCCTCTTCCAGTTTTGATCCATTATCCCTTGTCCTCTCCCTCCCTGTCCTTGTCCCAAGCCCCTCCCCAGCTTTCCTGGAGCCCCTTCAGGCACTGGAAGGTGCTCTCAGGTCTCCCTGGAGCCTTCTCTTCTCCAGGCTGAACACCCCAACTCTCCCAGCCTGGCTGCAGAGCAGAGCTGCTCCAGCCCTCTGATCTTCTTCATGACTCTCCTGGTCCAGCTGCACAGCCAGGAAGGATGCAAAACCCAGACCCCCTGGGAGCACAGTGTCAAACACACTCTTCCTCTGGAAAAAAAGAGTTCTTTCCTTCAAATCTAATTCCAATTTCTGAGGCTGGTGCTGGAGGAAAGTGTCTTCTGCAGCAGCGTGTCATTTGTGGGACAAGGGGCAGGTAGGTGGGGGAGTCAAAAACAAAGGGTAGGAGCCAGTTTTGGTTGACAGGTCAGATATGGGCTTCTCACCTTCCTGAAGTTCTTCCAAGTCTCCCTGTGAGCAGAGTGGGAGAAACAGCAGCAGAGCAAGACAGATGGGGCAGGGCTTCACAGCTCAGATCTCCACCCTATGTCAGATCGAGTCTCCAGTTGTGACTGGCGTGTGTGGAATGAGAAGAACACCTCAGTGGAGCACTGGAAAAGGGATTTCTTGAAGGCTTGAAGGTGTTTCTTGCCCCTAGAAAAGCCACTGATGCAGAAAGAGTGATGAATGAACTCAGTGGGAAGCCAGGATGCTCAGCAGCTCCCCTGTTGCTCCCAGTTTGGGCACTAAATTAGGGTGCACTTGGCTGAATTATTTTTGCACCTTTTCCTGCAGCCATCACCTCCAGGAGCTGTGGATCAGGGCACTCTTGTCATCACATCTCATTTATTCTCAGTCCTCTCAAAAGATCAGAGCTGCCACACAACTGGATGGAGTCTTAACTCAGCCTTTTAGTCTCAGCAGTGAGGAGAAAACACTGATATTCTTAGATGAAGCCTTTCAGTCATGGTGGTTTTGAGATGAAAAAGATGCAGGAGGAGCTCACCCTGGATTCCTTTACAGTTCCAAATAATTTTTATTCCAGAATTTCCCTGGTGCTGCTCAAAACCCCAGATACCAGAAATATTCCTCAGTCCCATTCCCAACGACCTGCCTTCCTCCTTCAAGAGTTTCCCACAGAATCCAGGGAGTTCTGTCTGAAATGAACTCAACAAATCAAGAGGTCAAAGAAAACTTCTACTGTGCTCCCACCAGCCAGAGACTCAACCACCCATGGGTTAAAACTTTGGAATCTCCCCCTGTAGCTTAGCAGATTTGCAGAGGAAATGTGAGATAAAATGTCATTTTTCCAAGAAGGGAAAATGTTTTGGTGGGGTTTTTTTCAGTTGTTTGTTGTTTAACACACTTGGGATGAAAGAGCTGGGGTTTTTTTTCTGCTCACAAACCTCAAGATTGGGTTTGACATTCACCTCAGGGATGCAAAGGAGTTGTCAGAGCAATCAGTGTAAGGCTGGAGGAGGGAAGGAAATGGGTCCTGGGTTGGAGAGCAGGGAGGACTTAGGTGACAGGGCCACTTGAGGGACCATCCAGAAAAAATAGGCTCTTGTGTTTTCAACTCCCTCATCAGGGTTGTTTCTTTTTTGAAGCTTTAGTCCTTTCAAGGCAAACTTTGCAAGTTGATGGCACTGATTTCCATGACATGAGCACCAAAGGCTTTTAGATGGGATCTTCTTGAATCTTTGTGCTGGATCCAATGGGTTTGCTTGCTGATAAGGATGGTTAGAAGAAGCACTGGAACGGGAAAAAGCAAGAAAAGGTTTAAAAGAAACCTTAGATTGATTAGGAAAGGAATAAATAACCCATCAGGGAAGATTCTGGAAGCTCAGATTGAAAAAACCAAAATATTATAGATGTTATGGAATGGTTTGGGTTGGAAAGGACCTTCAAGATCATCCAGATCCAACCCCCCTGCCATGGGGACACCTCCCACCAGCCCAGGTTGCTCCAAGCCCCATCCAACCTGCCCTTCAACACTGCCAGGGATGGGGCAGCCACAGCTTCCCTGGGCAACCTGGGCCAGGCTCTCCCCACCCTCACAGCAAAGAATTCCCTCCTCATGTCCAACCTAAACCTCCCTTCTCCAGCTTTAAACCACCACCCTTCATACTCTCACTCCTTAGTTCTTGCTGATAACAGCAGGAGGTAAAAATGAGCAGAAAGAGAGGATTTCATGGGTAGGATCTGTTAGGAACTCTTAGTACACACTTGTGCTTATTTACTCTTCAAACCTAGTGGAATATAATAAGATATAATGTCTGCAACTCAGTGGGTGTCACTCTTCAAGGTATAGACATGAAGACCACAAAAATCCATCCTGCCTCCCAGGAGAAGTGTCCCAGGAGAGGAAGGAGCTTGTGAAGGTTTCATCTGCTCTGGTAAATTCACTGGAACAAATAAGTTCATCTGAAAGATGAAAACTGCCAGAGTTTACCAATCTCATGGGTAAATTGCTGCCTTGTTGGATTGCTTTCCCATCTTGCTGCCCAGAGGATGAGGTGTTGGGAACAGGGCCACCCTTGGGTGCAGTGAGGGTGGAGGTGCTGCTGCAGCCCCCCCTTCCATCCCCAAATTCAAGTTGACTTCTGAATTTCAATCAATCCTATTTCCTTTTTTCCCCACTGGTGATCTTTTGGTGGGCAGGATGGGATCCAGCTCCACCTTTCAAACTCTCCCAACCAAGAGCACCTGGGTGTTGCAAACTGCTTCAGAGTAGCAACCTTTGGGACATGAGCAAAATGGGCCAGATTTGGTCTTTCCATCCACAGGCAGGTTGAAATTTTGATTTGATTTTGATGTCCAGGTTGACTCTTGACCTTCCCTGTTGGTTCCCTCTTCTCCTCCATCTCTGCTGTTTGGTTTCTCAACAAGCAAGTTTTGATTCCCAGGAGCATTTGGTATTTTTATCAGTCACCACCAAGAGAGAGATGTTTATTTTTGCCCCTTTGCTTTTGATCTGTCTCTAAACCAAAAATCAAACCAGCCAAAAAACTCCTCAAATGTAATTTCAAGGCATATTTAATAACCTGTGCCTAGTTTTAAATGAATTCTGACTTCCTAGTGAGCATTTGTGTCACTCTTATTTTAAATTCCAAATTGAACTGACAAGAAAACATTGACTGTATTTATTTATAAATAATAATAATAAAAAATTATGCACTAAAATATTTCCTTTTTAGCACTTGAGGTGAGAGACAAACTCTCAAAACGCTGTTCAGGTTTTGATTGCAACCTTTCAAATTTCAAGTTGGCTGAAATAATGTGTTCTGATTTGTTATTTAACTGACTATTTGCAAACATTTTTCCCAAGAAATGAAAGGAAATGCCATGATCCTTAAAAAAAAAAAAAGGATATAATAAAAATTGAAGAGAAGGAGCCTGGAAATCAGTATTTTACAGCTGAATGTAAAGCCCTTTGACACAAGGCCCTTCTGCAAGCTTGGGACCAGTTTTCTTTCTGGTTGGACCTTCACCTGTTGTCAGTAACAAATGAATAAATGCACAGACAGTCCCAACAAGCTCCCAGCTCTCCCAGTTTAGCTCCCTGAATGCTGCAATCTGCAGAAATGCATCGAGGGAGCACTTAAATGAAGAGAAAACCCTTCTATTTATTTCAAACCCAGCATCTGAATTCAGCTGAAGTTCTAAAAACTCCTTCCCAGCTGATCTATTTACACAAGTTTTGAGGTCTGCTGATTAGAACCAAGGCCTTGATGTTATTTGGTGAGGGAATGATAATGGGAGATGATAAAAAAGAATGAGCTCAAGGTAGTGCAAGTCCATCCATTTTCAAATTAATAGTATTCATTTCACAGCAAGGAGCATGAACGTGACTTGTCTTACTTGAAGGAGCTAATTAGGTGTTGGAAACATTATAAAAGCATTTGTTACACACCTAAGAGATATATGGGAGCTGTAATTATCTCCTTTTACATGCTGGTCCCATAATGTAACATGATCTTCAGTCACTGGAAATTACATGTCGAAGCCTCTATTTTACAAGGATGACTTTGGTCAAGGTCTTCTATTTTTAGACTGTCATTTAGAGGAGTTGGAGAAAGAAAACCCCAACTGGAAAGGTGCCTGATTCCAGGATGTTTGGTGCTTTTGCAGTTATTCTGAAAAGCTGGAGCTCCTGTGTTTTGTTTACAGCATCCATCCAACGTGATGTAGGTACCTCCTTTCCAAAGACAAGTGTAGGGTTGGGATCTTCTTGAGGAGTTTCTGCTAGCTGGAGGGTTGGTGTTGTCACAGATGGTGTCACTGCCTGGTGGGATGTTGGCAGGGATGTTTTGTTTCTCATGGCTCATGATTCCATTGCCATGGGCTGTCATAGAAGCAGTGGAGTCAGAGGAGATTGGAGTTTGAGGGCAATGAAACCATCTGGGTTCCTGTGATCTGCTGAAATCCCAGGAACCTGTGAGCAGGAGCTCAGTGCCAGGAGAAGAACCAGGAACATGTCCTGTGCCAGGAGAAGAACCTGATATTTCAGTCCTGCTTCACTTATTCCTCAAAGTGTCTGATATCTGGGTGGTGAGATGATGGTTAGAAGGGGTTGTGAGATGGTGCTCAGGGAGTTGTGAGATGATGCTCAGAGGGAGTTGTGAGATGATGCTCAGGGGGTCGTGAGATGATGCTCAGGGGGTTGTGAGATGATGCTCAGGGGGAGTTGTGAGATGATGCTCAGAGGGAGTTGTGAGATGATGCTCAGGGGGTTGTGAGATGATGCTCAGGGGGTTGTGAGATGATGCTCAGGGGGTTGTGAGATGATGCTCAGGGGGTTGTGAGATGATGCTCAGGGGGTTGTGAGATGATGCTCAGGGGGTTGTGAGATGATGCTCAGGGGGTTGTGAGATGATGCTCAGGGGGTTGTGAGATGGTGCTCAGGGGGAGTTGTGAGATGTTCTCCCATCTCAGCCTGCTCTGAGGGAAACCTCAGCCCTTTCTTTTGCTTAATTCCTCCTGGACACAGTCCTGGGGTGCTTGCTTGAGCTTGATCCTTGCTCAGGCAAATCTGGCACTTGGGGGTGTTTCTGCAGCCTGTTTATTGTATTCTTTGGAAGTTACAAGGTCTCACACAGTCCCACGTGCTTCTGGTGTTTTGTTTGGAAGATACTCTAGATCTGACAGCTAGAAAACCCAAATTCTAGGACATCAAGCATATGAAAGTTGAGTTTGCTTAGTGGTTTCCTCAGATGCATGGAGGGAACACGCTGCTTGGCCAAGAATGGGGCAACTTCCCTCTGTGACTTGTCAGCACAGGCTGGATGGACCAGTTCCTCACCACAAGTGTTGGCTCCTTTGGTTCATCAGCTTGACAACACTGATGTGCTTGGGTGCTTCTCCAGCTCCTGCTTTCCACAGGGAAGTGTTCTGGGACATGGGCTTTGGTACCACCATGGAGATCCCATGAAGATCCCATGAAGCTGGGTCAGGATTTGGCTTCATAGCACTTCCCACCTAGATCCCAAACTACACAAGATGAGAATTTGGGGCTGGTTCAGCCCCTTCAGTTGAAAATGCAGCTTTTGTTCATCTCAGGAAGTCACTCACTGGCTACACAAGTGTCACCAGAGATGTGGATTTTTCCAAAATTCCTTTCATACTAGATGATGAGAAGAGGCTCAACACTACAAACCTTTCCCACCTCCCATCTATGTATCAAACCAAAGATCTGAGTGGGTTTTTTTCTGTCACTTCATCTCCTTTTTCTTCTCTTTAGTGCTATTTTGGGGTTGGAAAGTGCTCTTGTTGCCCTTCTGCTGTTAATGAAGTTCTACAGTAGGTTGCCTCCAGTCCCATCATCCTGCAGGAAGGAAGCTCCTGGGAATATTGAATTTTCTTGCCTCCTGCTGTGGATATAAGGGAGACAATCTGACCATTTCTGACAGGGAACCCTCACCCAAGCTTTGTTCAGTCCATCCTGGGAGGGCTGGAGCGGCGGTGGAACCTGATGCTGGGAGGACAGGCCTGTTCTCTGGGCTGACAAATGACATTTTGAGGAGATGTTCCCCAAAGGAACAACCAGCTCCATTTCTCCAACCTGCTCTGTGCCATTTGCAGCCCAGAGAACCGTGGCAGCCCTACACTTAGTTGGACAATTAGTTGATTTAGCCTTAAATGGGTTTTTTTTTTCCCTGCAGCGTGAAATCCACTTTTTCATCGTTGCTTTTCATGGAGCTTCTAGTCAAGGAGAGGAGCAGGGCACATGAAGAACTCTAGATGTTTCTTTCCAATTGCTTTTCTCACCCCATGCAGCACCAGGATTTGCTTGACCCAAGGCAGAGATGTCAGCACGCAGGACACTTTTGCTCTGGGTGCTTCAGGTGCCAGGAATAATGATCTGGGTCTTGCCCTGATGGGAGAGTGATGTCCTGGGTGTCTTCATGGCCAGAGGCTGCCATTTCCCAGTCTCTAGGCTGTACCTTCACTCTGGAGACCCACCACTGACCAGTTACCCCAGGACTCCCCACTGGGAGCAGCTGGTGGAGGAAAATCAACTGCTGTTGTTTTTGCCATGGCTCAGTGATGTTTTTTATGGAATTCCAGGCTGGGTTGGGTTGGAAGGGACCTTCAAGATCATCTAGATCCAACCCCCCTGCATGGGCAGGGACACCTCCCACCAGCCCAGGCTGCTCCAAGCCCCATCCAACCTGCCCTTCAACACTGCCAGGGATGGGGCAGCCACAGCTTCCCTGGGCAACCTGGGCCAGGCTCTCACCACCCTCACACCAAAGAATTTCCTCCTCATGTCTCACCTCAGTCTCCCCTCTTCCAATTTTAATCCATCCCCCTCATCCTGTCATTCTAGCCCTGACAAGAGTTTGATTTCCAGAGCAAGTGTCTTGGAAGACTCAGCTGGACTCTGTGCTGGACCATCTTGTCTAGACTGTGCTTTTCCCAAGCAAGGTTGGACCAGATGATCCTTGAGGTCTCTTCCAACCTGGAATTCTCCAATTCAGTTTTCATGAGCTGGATGTTTATGGTGTAATATTCCTCTCTCTTCCTTGACCAGAGATGTTTTCCTTTCCTGAGCAGCCATTTCTTTCCATCAGTTTTCCATGTTTTAAGAATAAACCAAGATAATAGATATTTCTATCTTATGAAGTGTTAAAATCCAAGGTATTCTTGTAGCAGCTGCAGCATTCCCAGTGGGCCCCATGACTTGAATTAAGCTGTTGAAAGTAAAAAATCATGTAAAACAAACCAACATAGAGACAGAGGAGCCTCAGAATGAAGTTTGGTGAGGAAGGAATCAAACTTTTCAGGCAACCAACCCCAGAAATAAATTGTGCTTGGAATCCAAATGTGCCTTCAATTTTTTGGGTTCTCTTTTTGTTTAGGGAACGGGCAGTGAACACCTCTCAATCTGGGACACTCCAGCTGACCGTGGGCAACCTGAAGCCAGAGGAGACCTACACCTTCAGAGTGGTGGCCTACAACGAGTGGGGACCAGGAGAGACCTCCCAGCTCATCAAGGTGGCCACGCAGCCCGAGCGTGAGTTTGCACAGCCAGGGGGGCTGGGTGCAGGTGCTGGGTGGGCTGCAGCCCTCAGCTGCTCAGGGCACTGGTTTCAGGTGTTCCTGGAGCTCAGGGCACTGGTTTCAGGTGTTCCTAGAGCTCAGGGCACTGGTTTCAGGTGTTCCTGGAGCTCAGGGCACTGGTTTCAGGTGTTCCTGGAGCTCGGGACACTGGTTTCAGGTGTTCCTAGAGCTCAGGGCACTGGTTTCAGATGTTCCTAGAGCTCAGGGCACTGGTTTCAGGTGTTCCTAGAGCTCAGGGCACTGGTTTCAGGTGTTCCTGGAGCTCAGGGCACTGGTTTCAGGTGTTCCTAGAGCTCAGGGCACTGGTTTCACATGTTCCTGGAGCTCAGGGCACTGGTTTCAGGTGTTCCTGGAGCTCAGGGCACTGGTTTCAGGTGTTCCTGGAGCTCAGGGCGCTGGTTCCACATGTTCCTGGAGTTCAGGGCACTGGTTTCAGGTGTTCCTGGAGCTCAGGGCACTGGTTTCAGGTGTTCCTGGAGCTCAGGGCACTGGTTTCAGGTGTTCCTAGAGCTCGGGACACTGGTTTCAGGTGCTCCTAGAGCTCCTCTTGGAAAATATCACAGAATCACTGAGGTTGGCAAAGACCTTCAAGATGATTGAGTCCCACCATCAACCCTGCTCTTCCAAGACCAGGCACCACATCTAGATGACTTCTAAACACACCCAGGGATGGAGACTCAACCCATGTCTGACAACCCTTTCCATGAACCTACAGGCTGCCCTGGAGGGGTTTCCAAGCCCTGTAGATGTGGTGCTGAGGGACATGGGGCAGGGGTGGCCTTGGCAGGGCTGGGGGAAGGGTTGGGCTGGATGATCTTGGAGGTCTTTTCCAACCAAACCCATTCTATGATTCTGTGATTCTTTCTCTTAATGTTTGGTAAATCTTTGGAGCAGGGGGAAGGTTTTGGTAGACCCTTTGCTCTTTCTCTGTGTCTCATGTGGTTGAAAATGTTGGCCCACATCTAGTCTTCTTCTGCTTGAGTTTGTCCTATTGGAGTTTCTTGGAAGGTCCAAGAAGGGCTGTTGTATGGAAACACTGAGCCCTTCCATGGCAAGAAATAGTTACTCAGAAGAATGAATCCTAAACATGGGATTGGTATCTAGTTTTTAGCACTGAAATGGGTGCTTTGCTTTATACTGGTGGACACTGGTCTGCTTGGAGGAGCCGTGTGGGTGATGGTGGGATGCTGAGCTGCTTTTATGCATCTTCTCCAAGTCCCTGCCAGAATCTGCTCTCCCTCTTTAATAAGGTGGGAAATATAACACTTAACAGAAGCAAAGAAACTGTTTCACATCCTCACACGTTGCCACGGGCAGAAATGGAGCTGGAAGGCAAGTTTTGCCTGAAAACCCCTGGTGTGAAGAGAGACAGCTGTGCTGGCAACCCCTGAACTGTGCTTTCCAGATGGGTTTTCACAGGTGGCTTTTGGCTGGGAGCAGGGAGAGGAGGTGGGAATGACTCTCTGGGGGGTGGAGGGAGGGAGAGGAAGAGCTTGGAAATGAATCCTGTGGAAAGATGAGCCTCTGGAGGTGGCTTGAGGTGGCTTTTGAACTGGTGACTAAGCTGAGCCCCAGGAACAGTGTCTGTTAGGGTCAGTGCCATCATGTGCCACAACCTCTGAGCAGGCAAGGAAAAAGGGACCTTTAGACATAGAGCCCTCTGTGATTTTGTGTCTGTAAGTTGATCACCAAGCATGGTTTTTCCTCCCTCTCATCACTTCCCCAGCCCCCAAGGGCAGTGATGGTAGGGAATTATCTCCAGAGACATGTGGATTTCTGGATTGCTGGCTTTGCCTTTTGGATCCGCCTTCAATTCCTGCTCTGAGCTTGTTCTGCTGCTTCTTGCATTTGTTTGCCACGTGCACATGTAAACAGGGTGATAGCCCAGCCTTTTTTTAGGGGAATAACTCCTGAAAATCAGTTCCTGACTCAGTTTTTTGAAAGTGAGGGTGGGAGGTAATGAAACATCAGCATCTCTTACCTATTGATAATCGATCTCCGCCCAAGCACACGCACGTGCACGTATGCACCTTTCTGCATGTGTCTCTGCTTTATCTATATATATTGATAGAATTTAAAGAACATTTCAGCTGGGAAAGATGCCTTTCTCTTCCCAAACTGCTCAGAGCAGGCACCACTCCCCCTCTGCTGCTCCCACCTCCAAGCAGCCACGACGCGGAGTTACCGACTCGCGGGCTCAGCGTAGACATTTGGACTCTCCCATTGAATAACTCAGAAGGTTTCTCTCAAGTGTCAAATTTGAGCAGGAAGGAAGAGATTGCTTTCCATTTTTTTTTTTCCTCCTGGCTTTTTACTTGTTGACCACATTATCTTATCATTTTGCAACAACTCTCTTTGGTCCTGGGAGGCATCTCCCCGGCTGTCTCGGAGAACACGCTGTACCTATTGTCCAATAAATTACCTGGCTGCACAGAAATTGAATTTCCACATTATTGGAAAATAGCAGAGGGATGATGTGATCTGGCATTGTTAAAGTAGGGGGAGAGAGAAGGAAAAATACCCAAAAGCTGATGGAAAGGGACATCTAAAAGTCATGTCTGTCAGGGCCTGGTTCTAAAAGTGCAGGCGTTTTGCTCAGTAATCAGTTTAGAAGATCAGCAGAACAAGTTTCAGCTCTTTGGAAATAATCATCCAGAATAGAGAGGCTGGGATTTTATGAAGGTCTTTGTCCCCAGATTAACACACTCCCCTCTTCTCTTTTTTTTATTCAACTACAACCCCTTTTTTTTCTCTGCCTTTATATATATATAATTTCACTACAGTATTATCAGTCTGGATTTAAATCCCTGGTTGCTTAAGCCATGGCTAATCTTTTCATACCACATGTGGAGACTTTGTGAGGTATTATTTGGGCTCCTCAAGATGCTGTTAAAGCAGCTTGGGAGGAGAGAACAAAGCAGCCCATCTATTATTGCCAGAAGGATTGAAATTGGCCCTCCCAGCTTTGAAAGCAGCTCCCTGCTGAGGGACCAGCTCACTCCTTTTTCACAGCCAGTAGGAATTCCAACCAGTTTCCTCCTCAGTGAATGTCTCCCTGATGTGTATATTAGGTGGGGGAAGAGAAGATGGACAGGGAGACACAGTGCTGGGCCCCAAAGGAACTTGGTGGCATCACTCTGGTTTCAGAAAGTCCCTCTCCTCCCCCCTTCCAGGGAAAGGAATTTAACATTTAACATCTCAACTCCTACCCAAGCTTCTTTAAGGGCTTTAGAAAGAATAATGAATTACTGCATCTTTCTGAGGTAGGGAGGTGGGTTTATACCTACTTAGGAGAAGCCCAGCTGTGGCCCCAGATGTGTGTGCCCCCCCCCCCCCATGCTGTGCTGCCAGGAGCAAATCTCTGACCCACCGTGGTTGGGGAGCAGCCAGGAGGCCAAAGTGCTGAAAATGCAGCACTTGAGACAGAAATAGAGAGATTTGGGGTGGAATTCTGTAGTACGTGGGGGGTTTGCAGCAGCTGGAGGGTCACACTGGCACAGGAGACTTGGGTGACTTTGGTCACCAAGGATCACACCTGCCTAGATATTTTTTCATGTCACAGAATCAGGGAATGGTTTGAGTTGGAAGGGAGCTTCAAGATCATCTAATTCCAACCCTTCTGCCATGGGCAGGGACACCTCCCACCAGCCCAGGCTGCCTTTTTCCCACCCTGCCCTTCAACGCTGCCAGGGATGGGCCAGCCACAGCTTCCCTGGGCAACCTGGGCCAGGGTCTCACCACCCTCACAGCAAAGAATTTCCTCATGTCTCACCTCAACCTTCCTCTTCAGTTTTAATCCATCCCCCTCATCCCATCCCTCCCTGCCCTTGTCCCAAGTCCCTCCCCACCTTTCCTCTATTCTCCTTTCAGTTCCCACCAGAGGCTGGTGCATCTCACCTCAGAAACCCCTCCCTTTGTCACTTCACAATGTTACTTTGTGTGATGATGGTGAGGAAAACATTTCTATTCTTTCTTTTTTTAACACTGATCAGTTGCACACGAATTTTTTTTGCCAAGACAAACAGCACCACAAGTGCCACCAGAGCTGCAACAAAGCACCTTTTTAAGGGTTTGAGATTTTGGGGGGGGGATTTCTTTTCCTACAAGTTTTCCAGTGGAGACAATATCCTTGGGAGTGATGGCCCAGGAAATGTTCCAAAGGCCTGGCCATCCATTTTAACATCCATTCCTTCTACAAATGTCAGAACTGAATCTAAAATTAAAAAGCCATTAAAATTAATGCAAGGAAATTTCAGATGAAAAAGCAAGGAGAGACAGGGATGTCTTTAAAGCCCACACAGATGAGAATTTTATCAAAGCATCCATCAGTTCCATCTAGGTTGAGCTGTGCAAATGAAGTTGGCAGAATAAACTGGAGTAATTGGGTTTTGCTGAAGACTTGGAGCAGATCTGGCTGGTTTAGACACCAATGCAGAGATGCTGGCAGGTTTGCATCTCTCAGGGCTGGAAAAGGTCCCCAAGCAGGGGTGTCCCCTGCCACTGTTGGGTGGTGATGTGTTTCAGAGGGTGCTGGTGCTGCCTTGGTGTCCTGCTTGGCTCTTTTGGGTACCAGGTTGAGTCAGAGAGGTGATGATTGGTGCCTAGAAATGATGGGAAGGGACCTGCAGGCACTGCAGGTTGTCTACAAAACCTTCCACCACAGTGGGTTTGATCAGGGAGATGAGAATCATAGGATCCCAGACTGGTTGGAGTGTTCAGGGACCTTCAAGACCATCTGGTTCCAAGGCAGGGGCACCTCCCACCAGACCATGTAAAATGGTCATGGGTCTGGGTGGAGAAAAAGCTGAGCTTGTGTTGAAGAAGTTGGGAGGTCAGGAGTCAAGGTTCTGAGTCTTTGGGCAGGATGTGGAGGCCTCTTCCTTCCTTCATCCCCAGAACACAAGTGAGCAATGTTGGCAAAAGTCAACAGGTATTTTCTGAGATCCCTTTCAATCTGGGCTGTTTGTTGAGGGTAGGACTTTCCTCTCTCCTTTCTCATGCCCAGGGACACATCTGTTTACTGTGTCCAGTTCTGGGGTCCCCAGCACTGGAAGGACATGGAGCTGCTGGAGAGAGTCCAGAGGAAGGCCATGGAGATGCTGGGAGGGCTGGAGCAGCTCTGCTCTGGAGCCAGGCTGGGAGAGTTGGGGTGTTCAGCCTGGAGAAGAGAAGGCTCCAGGGAGACCTTAGAGCAGCTTCCAGTGCCTGAAGGGGCTTCAGGAAAGCTGGGGAGGGACTTGGGACAAGGGGGAATGGATTAAAACTGGAAGAGGGGAGATTGAGGTGAGACATGAGGAGGAAATTCTTTGGTGTGAGGGTGGTGAGAGCCTGGCCCAGGTTGCCCAGAGAAGCTGTGGCTGCCCCATCCCTGGCAGTGTTGAAGGGCAGGTTGGATGGGGCCCTGAACAACCTGGTCCAGTTGAAGTTGTCCCATGCAGGGGGGTTGGGCTTGATGACATTTAAAGGTCCCTTCCATCCCAAACTACCTGTGATTCTAGAAGACCTGCAGCTAGTCCCATCTAATGATGGACGTGGGGGATCCATCATGAACCTTCTCTGCTGCCCCCTCATGTATCAGCTGTCCTCTTCCAGAATGGCCCAGGAAAAGACACCCTGGGGGAACTGGATGCCATTATGACATGGTTCTTTAATTTTATGAGGAATTTCTCTAGAGTGTTTGGGGGTGAAAGGGGAGGGAGATTTTTCAATTGCTTGTAATTTTAATGAAACGTGTCTTCCTTTCTAAACGTTGGGCAGATGTGAAGGAAAAAATGGTGGTGCCAGGTTTTGTGTGTCTCAGGCTCCTCATTTTAGCTTCCCATCCCTGATTTTTTTCCTGGGCTTCTAATATTTTTTGGCCTGTTTCTGGCAACTCTTCTCTGTTGCTTCTGTTGTAGCTCCTGGAAGGTGCTTGGCTTTTCATTCATAGAAGCACAGGGGTTGGGAGGGACCTCTGGAGACCATCAAGTCCCACCCCCCTGCTGCAGCAGGAACACCCAGGGCAGGTCACACAGGAACGTGTCCACATGGGGCTGGAAAGTCTCCAGAGAAGGAGACTCCACAGCCTCTCTGGGCAGCCTGGCCCAGGGCTCTGTCACCCTCACAGCAAAGAAGTTGCTCCTCATCTTGAGCTGGAACTTCCTGTGTTGTCACTTGGGGCCGTTTCCCCTCGTCCTGTCCCAGGCACCACTGAGCAGAGACTGGCCCATTCCTGACACCCACCCTGCAGGTATTGAGAGACATTCATCAGGTCCCCTCTCAGCCTTCTCTTCTCCTCACTAAACAGCCCCAGGTCTCTCAGCCTCTCCTCCTCAGACAGATGTTCCAGTCCCTTCATCATCCTTGTAGCCTCCCTTGGACTCTTCCCAGCAAATCCCTGTCCCTCTGGAACTGGGGAGCCCAGAACTGGACACAGTCCTCCAGATGTGGCCTCACCAGGGCAGAGCAGAGGGGCAGGAGAACCTTGACCTGCTGGCCACACTGTTCTTAGAGCACCCCAGGATACTTTGCTGTCCCATGGGTAACTTGTTGTCTACCAGGACCCCAAGGTCCTTCTCCATGGGGCAAATTTCTTGATTTCTTTCCTTTTTCTGCTTTAATTAATCATTCTATCATCTTTTGAATATCTTAACCCAAAATGAGTGCCAGTCACATCAAAATTATTTAGAAAAGAGATCTTTTGGTTTGAAAAATGTCCCTACTGGACGTTCTCAGCATGATGGAATTATTTTCCTTCATTTTTCTCCCCAAGCAGAAACTGTCACTGCTCTTTTTCTACATGTTTTGATGTCTGTGAGGACCATGTTGACCAGAAATCATCTGCTGGAGTGAAAATATGCCAAGTGATAAGAAGGGTTTCCCATTCCTGAGGTCTGTCTGCACCACACTCTCCTGCCTCTTAGTGCTTCATGGAGCTGGTGCTTCATGGAGGTGCTTGATAGGAAGAATTTCAGTGCTTGTCACCTCCTCATTTTGTAAATCAGAAGCTTCACTGGCTGGAAAAGGGTTTTCATTCTGCCCCAGGTTTTTGGCTGAGCTGCAAAGGGACAATTATGCCAAGGAGAAGACTTTGTTGTGACTGACTTGCTGGGAAGGAGCAGGAAATTCAAGCCACTCTTACCTGGGAAGAAGAACAATGCAGAAGAGCTGAGGCTGCCTTCATCAACTATGCAAATGAAGGCATTGCAGCATTTACATGACATCTGCATATTGAGAGGTCCTTGATGCACACAGTCATGCACAAGGGGCACTGAGAGGCTGTTGCCAACCATGTTGTCACCTCAACCGACGTGAAAGGTGGAAGCTCATTTGCACTAGGAACTGTTTCCTTCATCTTTGGGTCCCTCAAGGGTGTGTTTTGATGTCACAGCTCTAGGTTGTCCTTTCCCCCTGCTAGACTTGGGGTTTGGCTTTGGCACAGTGTGATCTTTGGCCAAGAGCACTGAGATAGATCCAAAAGTCCATGCTGAGTTGAGGACCACTGGGGTGTGTTTGTTTGGCTCCAGCTTTCCCACAACAGTGATGGTGGAGGCACTGGAGATGAAATGAAGCCTGATTTGGGAACCAGGAAGAGACCTGCTCAGTGCCTTCAGCTGATCCAGTGCCACCAGATTCTCCTGAATGGTGACACAGAGCTCTTCTCAAACCTTCTCATCAGAAACAATGCTGTCTCTGTAGAGACAGGCAGGTTTTCTTGGTGGGACAGCCTTGTCTAGACACCTCAGTTATGATGGAGGCCATTTGTGCTGTGTTTGCTACAGATTTAATGGAGGGACTAAGCCTGGGACAGATGGTAGACTCTTGGATCTCTGCACTTGACCAAGGGACTTGTGCTCCAGCCTGTTTCTCCTGGAAAGTCCCAAGTCCTTTCAAGAATGAATAGAAGCCCAGATTGGTTTGGGTTGGAAGGGACTAAAGATCATCCAGTTCCAACCCCCTGCATGGGCAGGGACACCTCCCACCAGCCCAGGCTGCTCCAAGCCCCATCCAACCTGCCCTTCAACACTGCCAGGGATGGGGCAGCCACAGCTTCTCTGGGCATCCTGTTCCAGTGTCTCACCACCCTCACAGCCAAGAATTTCTTTCTCAGATCTCATCTAATTCTTTCCTCCTCAGCTTCAAATCATTCCCTCTCATCCTTTTGCTGCAGAATTCCCCCCCATAGCCCCAGATCTGTTAGTTGGGAGAGCAGCATCCAACTCTGTGCAAGCAGTTGTGTTGGTGAAGCCACCTGAGATACCAAACTGATCTTTCCTGAGAACAGGAGGGCACTGTCAGAGGAATGGTGGGTTCTGATGGATCTTGAAGCATGATGTGGAGCCCATGGGAACAAAAAAAATGCATCAGTCACCTCCCTGCCCTCTTCCCTTGATCCTTTTTTCTTGGAGAAAGGAGGCTCTTAGTTGTCAAAGTCAGACTTGAGAAGAAACATGATTGAATGTCTTGTCTTAATGGAATGTAAAGCACTTTGAGGGCTTGGCTGCTGTTTAGGAACAAGACTTTAGGAAAAGCTTGAGAACTTAATGCCAATTTTCCTGAGATTATGATTTGACAGGAAGGATCAGGAGGGATTATTAAATGCTTTGTGTGTGCTGAAAATGCAGAGACCTTAAGCACATTAGAGGGCCAGAAATATTGAAGCAGAATGAAAAGGAAAGCTGGGCAAAGGAAAGAAAAACATTTTCCATTGTCATTCTCTTTTTTCTCTCCTCATTTTGCTCCAGTTGAAGGTGCAGATCACTTATCAGCAGCTTCATCCCCAAACATCAGTTGCCCTTGGGGTCAGGCCCAACAGGGAGTGATTTTCTGGTAGTGACAGGAGTTTATTAAACACCTTTTTTTTTCAGCTCTTTTGCTTCAAGAAGTGATTCCAGCCCATTTTGGGGAGGAGTTGTGTGCTGCTCCACCCACCAGCCTCTAGGGTTTTGCCTTTCACAGGAGCTCCACTGAGAGGCTAAACCTCTGTGCTTGCAGAACTAACCCAAACCAGGTTAACAGGTTCAAGGATGGGCTATTTTACCAGTTTTATTCCTTGATTTGCTTTTCAAAAGGGGTTTGTGACAGCCCTGTGGTTTCTGGCAGTGCTGGGCAATGTGCAAACTGGGATATTATTGAAGAGAAGAACTGGAATGGCAAATGAATAATGAAGTTGATACCACTGAGGTCTGAGTTTTAGGGTTTGCAGATTGTGAGAAGTCTCTAAAGCTTCATCCCTGGTTGATCTGCAGCTCCTCAGGCAGCTGAGGTAGAGTGAGGAATGCATCAAGGAGCTTCACAAACGTGTCCATGGGCACGGTGCTGTGAGGAGAAACCAACAGAGGGATTTTGAAGGTTAATTGCTTGCTAAAAGAACCCCAGACCTGCTGCTGTGATTCAAATCAATGGATCATGGGAGAGCATTGAGGTGGTGCCTCCAGAGCTGGGGCAGAAGCACATGTCTAAGTGGTGCCTCCCTAGAAAGCAGCTTTAAGCTCATGGTTGGCATGGTTAGGAGATGACTTTGGATGTGTCAGGTGGTGTTTGCTGGTGAGTTTCTCTGGTGGTTCCTCTAATGGCAATAAGGTTGCTTGAGCTGGTCTTGGGTGATCAGGTTGGTGTGTCTCTGAGGTCCTGCTACCTCAAGGTAAAGGCATCTCTGGGGTGTTTTGGAGTTTATTTCCCAGAAAGTCCACTTGAAGATGACATCCATCCACTGAGCCAAAGGCACAGAGCTGTAGCCTTGGTGGAACAACCCTCCTCAGAAGTTCACGGATTCACGGTGCTAAGTTCCCACCAGTCTTTCTACAGTGCATTTCTCATGGGTTTGTCACCCCTGTTGGGTTTTGCCTGGAGCTTTGAAGGTGCACAGGGCTGAAGCAGTGCTGGGGCAAGCAGCCCTCAGAGGTGTGTCATGCTGGGGACCTGGGTGATGTGGGAATGGGGCTTTCACACCATCCTCTCCTTCCCGTGCAGTGCAAGTCCCTGGGCCGGTGGAAAACCTACGGGCTGTGTCTACCTCCCCCACCTCCATCCTGGTCTCCTGGGATCCTCCAGCCTATGCCAATGGCCCTGTTCAAGGCTACAGGCTCTTCTGTACAGAGACAGCAACTGGAAGAGAGCAGGTGAGGGGGGTGAACAGGGCAGCTCTGCCCTCCCTGGCAACAGGAGCTGTTTGCTGGAGGCACCTGCAGGTCTTCAGAGGGAGAGGTTTGGTGGATTCATCCAGTGATAAAAGAGCAAATCAAGTTGAAGAAATTGCCACCAGGATAAAATGGGGTCTGGAGGTGGAAGGAGGCACAAGGGGCCTGATCTTTCTACAACTAGTATCTTCCCCAAACCCTAGAACTTAGATTCTACAGTTGCTTCTTGGAGCTTCTTCCAAGTAAGAGGGGAAAAAATGATGACAGGCTGCTCTGTTACAAATTGTCTTTGAAAGTCATGGGATGGTTTGGGTGGGAAGGGACCTTCCAAGGCCATCCAGTCCAACCTGCAGTGAGCAGGGACATCTGCACCTAGAGCAGGTTGCTCAGAGCCCTGTCCAACCTGAGCTGGGATGTTTCCAGGGATGGGGCATCTCCCACCTCTCTGGGTAACCTGGGAGAGGGTCTCACCACCCTCAGCATAAAGAATGTCTTCCTTGTATCTAGTTTTTAGACTTGAGACCAAGCTGGAGACCTTGAGTTGTTGTGTCAGTTCGAGGGGTTAGCTCTGCTGCTCCAAGAGTGAAAAGCCCACCTCTCATCCACCCACCCACCCCTTGGTGCCACTGGTTGTCACATTTCCCCTCGGTTTGTCATAGGGTGGTCAGGGTTGGAAGGGACCTCTGGAGACCATCTAGAACCTGCTAGAGCAGGGTCACCTACAGCAGATCCCACCAGATGAGTTTGGAACGTCGACAGCGACAGCGACTCCACAGCCTCCCTGGGCAACCTGTCCCAGGGCTCTGCCACCTTCAAGGTGAGATGGTTTTTCCTCCTGTTTCACTGTGCTTGTCTGTGTGTCCTAGACCGTGGAGGTGGACGGGCTGTCCTACCAGCTGGAGGGGCTGAAGAAGTTCACCGAGTACACCCTGCGCTTCCTCGCCTACAACCGCTACGGCCCCGGCGGCTCCAGCCAGGACGTGGTGGTCACCACCCTTTCAGATGGTGAGTGGGGACAGAGGGGCAGGCTGTGCCTGTTCCTTGCAACCCTCAGGTTCTTTTCTTCTGCCATCCCGGGTTGGAAGGGGCAGGAATGACAGCGGGAGGTGATTGGCCCCGCGGGATGGCAAGGAGAGGTTTGGTACCTCCCAGCTGGTGTTTGTCCCCGAGGAGAACGTGTTCAGATCATGATGCAGATGTTTTGTGATAAGGATAGTCTACTTTTCTCTTCACTCCCTCCTTAATTTAGGCCCTGGTGGATCCTCTCAGCTTGTCAACAGCCCCTTTTTTTGTTCCAGCTTCATTTGAGCCTGGGTTTTCCCCACACAGGGGTAGCAAATGTGGCAGGGCTTCTACCTCAGCCTCCTTCCCTGACCTCTCATTATCTTTGGAGATAAATTCCATTTTCCTTGGCCTTCAGAAGCACTTGGTTGTGCCTGATATCACCAGACTTCTCCTCTGGAAGTCACTGAGCCTGATCCCCACATCTGGCTAACCCAGGAATGACTTTACTGGAGTCATTCAGGCTATAAAAGTGTAAAACCCATTAAAAATGCATGAAAAAAATCCTTAAGTGGGGTTGGTGAGAGGTCATAAAGCAGGAACCAGGCTCCAGGGATGGACCAGCTCCTGACTCAGCCCCACAGCCAGTTGTCAGCTTCTCAAGTGAGCTTTAGAGACAGTTGCTTTCCCTTCTGATGAGAATTCAGACCACTTCTTTATTTTGGGTTAATAAAACAAGACATAGGAGTTTGTGTGGCCATGGCCTGAGTTGGGATCACTCGTTGAAGGTCATTTTCAGGGGGAAAAATGTTTGCTTTGACATGGGGGCCTAAAATCAGGGAGCAGACAAAAAAAAGAAGTTGCTGTGGGTTTCAACTTGCTGGGCATATATAGAAACAGTTGCCAGCACATGGGGGGGAACCACAGGCAGAGGTATCTTCTGAGTTGCCTAAAAATGTCACCCTTGCTCCTTTCCAAGCTGTAGGTTGATGCTAGAGCAGAAAAAAAAAAAATGGAGTGGAGACCAGGGAGATGGAGATGTATCCTTTTCTATTTACAAATCCTTCTGTCATTTTTTTCATGAAGTTCTACCCCAAAATTTGGATGAGGTTGAGAATGGCAGGTTTCCTGTCTGGTGACCCAGCTGCTTCTCCATGTTTCACCTGAGCAACTGGAAATACCAGTTTGTGGGCAGTGTTAGTAGAAGCTGTGTAGATCCTGATGCCAATCAGCAGAGGGTTTGGGTACCATGCCCTGGAGAAGCTCTTGCATCTGGTTCTTGTCTCTAGAGGCCTTTGCAGGTGTCCTTGGGTTGTTCTTGGGTTGGTGACATCCCCTATGGAAGTGATGGTCCTGTCTCATCTCCACCTGATCCTAGAGGGTTTGTTGCCACCCTGAATTACCCTGTGGTCTGCAGGTCCCCAGGTCTGCTTGACCAAAAGGGCTGCCCAGGGTGGTGGTGGAGTCCCCATCCCTGGAGGGGTTTCCAAGCCCTGGAGATGTGGTGCTGAGGGACATGGGGCAGGGGTGGCCTGGGCAGGGCTGGGGGAGTGGTTGGGCTGGGTGATCTTAAAGGTCTTCTCCAACCAAAATTCTTCTGGGATTCTATGACCTCTGGAGAAGCAGCAGTGGGAAAAGCAGGATCTGAAAGAAGCCACTTCAGGCAGGGGTCTGGAGGAGCCAGGGCTGCCATCTGAAAAAGGCTGAGCCACCCTAAGCTGACTTCAGAAATGAGCAGGCACCTTGGTGAAGGACCCTGGTGGAGACCCATTAAAAGAGACCTCTTAGAAGAACAACTTGGAAGGGGCCAGGAACCCTGATTAAGGAGGCTGTTAAACCTCAGAACTGTTTCAAATCTGTGCTGTTCCAGGCTGAATCAGCCACGAGATTCATCTGAGAAGGACCCAGCTCTGTTCACACTCTGATTTTTCCATTTGACACCTCTGAACACTTTTGTTCAAGTGCTGCTTCCATCTACCCAGCAAATTCACTTCTGCCTTGTCATGCAGGCTGGATCTTGGCAGAAGAAATGACTTCACACTTAGAATTCTCAAAACAAAAGGAAAACAAGTGGAAATGCATCTTTTGCATCATGTGATGCTGATTTAATTCACATGGTGAAGTGTAGCACTGAGGGCCCGTTGGTTGAAAAGGTCACTGGGAGTGAGAAAGGGGAAGATTGTTATTTATGAGTCTGCAAATGAACCTCTCCAAGTGTTGGGAACACTTCACCTGGCTGGGAGCAGAAATCCTGGCCAAGGAGAAGGTTTGTGTCAGACTGTGGAGACATCAGGAGTGTGTGCATCCCTGCCTTTGCTTTGGGAATCTGCCAAAAGGCAATATTGGGATTTCTCTTTCTTTGAAGCCACAAGTGGGTCTGCAGAGAAGTCTTGGACTTCTTGGCCTTTCACCTGGAGCAGGTGTGAAAGAAGAGCAACTTCCTTTAGGATATCTTGGCTTTCTTTTTGTGGATCTGCCTGAAACCTCTTGGGTCTCTGGCCTCAGGAAGAGCCACCAAAGGGCCAGAGCCTGGTTTTGGCCAAGCCTGGGTGAAGGTGGCATCAGTCCTGGCTGTCCCACCACCCAGAAGGAGAGGAGGGAGTGGAGAGAGCAAGTCTGCAGCACCAAAACTTCCTATGAGTTCTTCTTTTATGGTACCATGCAGAGACCTTTCCCAGGGTTGAGGTCCCTTTTGCTAGAAGGATGCACAATAAAGGAGACAAAGACATTGAATCCCATCCTGACTTCTTGGTGAGAGGTCAGGGAAGGATAAAACCTGTAGTTGTCTGTACACACATTTGCTTTGGGGCAAGTTTTGTTCCTGCATCCTCTGCCACCACTCTCCCTGTGGACAAGAGCAGCTCCCCAGGATGCCCCTCTCTGCTTTTTGGGTTGCAACCAACCCATCTTCCAGCTCCAACTGAGACTTGGCAGCTCCATCACTCATGGACAGGAGCTGGCCACGTTTCCCATCTCCTTTTGCCACCAGACAAAACCATTGCAAGGAGCATTTTGCTTGTCATGACCAGCTCCCTTTGATCTTTGCTTCACCTACACTTCCCATCCTGGTCCATGCAGTTGATTTTCACATCAGGAACCAAACCCAAGGAGCTGGGATGCTCCTCTCAGAGGACTCCCTTCTGAAAGCTGGTTGCAAACACAGAATCAACCATGGAAAATGGGAGAAAAGTCCTGGTAGATGGGTCTGCTTTTCCTTTCCTCTTGTAGAAATGACAAGATCATTTTTAACTCTGCCTTCCTCTTGAGCAGGTTGTGATTTCTGGGCCAGGCCTTTGCTGCACAGTGTGTGACAGGACATGGAGTTGTACAAAAAAACCCCAAAAACCAACAAAAAAAAAACCCAACCAAAAATCCTGTGCTATTAGTTCCTGCAGATCTGGAGGCAGAAATTTCCCATATGATTATGGGATAGAATCTATAGAATCATAGAATCTTAGGGGTTGGAAGGGACCTTGAAAGATCATCTAGTCCAAGAAACACCCTCCCCAGTCAAGGGGAAGGAGTGTGGCAGCTCCAGCCCCCAGGGGACCATTCACCAGCTCTAAGGACATACTGGGTCTTTAAGGCTTCCTTTCCAGTTTCAACCACAGCTCAGCTCATCTGTGGCCAAGCTGGGTGCTGGTTCAGAGGTGCAGGGGGGACTAACATGCTCATGAAGGTATCAAACCCCATTGAATCCCAGCAATTGGCAGCCAGACTTATTTCCTGCTTCCTGAGGACTTGATTTTAATATCATTTCTGGCCATCATGATGATTTCTTTCTTAAAAGTACCAATGGGAGATGGATGTTCTGATTGACACAGGAGACAGTCCATGGAGGTTCTCTGATGGCAGGAGCCAGTCCTGGGCTTTCTGATAGCAGGGTGAGGAGGAAAGGGGTTGGGAGGGTGTTTATGACAACAAAACCCATCGCTCAGAGCTACAAAGATTAAGTTATTGGAGGTCAACAGTGCTGGGGACCAAATCCCTTACTGTCCTGTCCCAAAAGCCCAACCCCTTGGTATAACAAATTCCCCTAACACTAACCCATGCATCTTAGTCAGTTTGGATGTGGCTTAGTGACCTAGCAGGTGGAGGGAGGAGAGGATTGTCCCACTCTACTCTGGTGAGACCCTTTCCTTCAGTACTGGGTCCAGTTCTGGAGCCCCCAACATAAAAGGGACATGGAGCTGTTGGAGAGAGTCCAGAGGAGGTCACAGAGATGCTGGGAGGGCTGGAGCAGCTCTGCTCTGGAGCCAGGCTGGGAGAGTTGGGGTGTTCAGCCTGGAGAAGAGAAGGCTCCAGGGAGACCTTAGAGCAGCTTCCAGTGCCTGAAGGGGCTCCAGGAAAGCTGGGGAAGGGCTTGGGACAAGGATGTGAAGTGACAGGATGAAGGTTTGGTGGCTGGAGTTTGTACCAGCACCAGCAAGGCTTCCTTACCTGGTGTCCATGTCATTGTTGAGTTGACAACCTGGTTTTGGCACCCTTGCCTCCTGGCTCACTGTCCCCAGTCCCTCTGTCCCTCCAAAACCTGAGGACCTGGGAGCTCTCTGGGCTGCAGGGAAATCCTCAGAGGTTTGCTCAGCCACCTCATTCCTTCTGGACCATTCTTGTCCAAGAAGAACAAACAGCCAAACCACAAAGGTCATGGAGTCATCTGATGGACAACTGAAAAAAATACCTGAGATGGTCCATCAGGGGCTCTGATTTGGTCCTGCCAAGTGTCTCCTTGAATGAAATGCAAGAGAGGAATAAAGGCACCAGGTTTGCTGGGGAAGAGATGGAGTTGGATGCTGGGTCAGGTCTGGGTTGATTTCTTGTTCTGGTGGAAGATCTGGAGGAAAGGATAAGGAACATGTCAGAGGGGGGGTTGGGGAACGTGCCATAAAAATGAAGAGAAGTTTGTCTGGTAGGGGATTGAAGCAGCAATAAAGCTTGGAAATCACTAACAAGAGAGAAAGGTTTAAGGTGGTGATGGCTGCTTGTTGGGATGAACTTCTGCTGCCCATGGGAGAAGGAAAAGAGGAATCACGTTGGGGAAACTGAGGCTCCGAGCAGCTCTGCCTTCCTCCTGAGCCAGAGGCTACAGCATCCAGCAGAGCCAGCTCACTCAGAAGTGTCCAAAAATATCTCCTTTTCCATTTTTTCCCCCCTTCTTGCAGTGCCAAGTACATCACAGAGACAGTTTTCTGTCTGGTATTTTTCAAACCGCGAGGAGTGTGAGCGGTGACATCTCCTCTCTGCTCAGGGAGATGAAACATCTCATGTCCTGTTTGCTGCTGCCTTGGATCAACTTGGTGCTGTCACGGGGACTGTGGTAACAAAGGAAGGAGAGTTCCTGTGCTAGGGAAACTAGAAACCAGTTTCTAAAGCTGCTTGTCTGGAGAGGGAGAAGTAAGAGACTAAATGGTGAAACGTTTTGTCAGTGGAGCCCCGGTCGAGGCAGAGGTGAGAGTGGGGTCCCCCAGTGTCCCATCGTGTCCCCCAGCCTGGACTGCCCACCCTGATGGAAGGGCAGGGTTGGGAGGTCAAACCAGAGGACCTCAAGGTAGTTTTGTATATTCCTTGAGCATAAATCCTCAAATGAAGCTGTGCTAGGATTACAGTGCAGAGACTCAGACGCTGTCACCAGGAGCTCCTGGGTGGCTCAGCCTGGTGCTCACCCTGGCTACTTCCAAAAGTGAATCTCTGTGACCTGGAATCCCCAGACTGGGGAGGAGTTTCTGTGCTCCTTGTTACTCACTTTGCTGTACCTCTGCCTCCAAGTAATCTGAGTTTTGCAATTATTTGGATACAAATGCAGGGGTTTTATGTCTTCTTTTCCTTTTTATGATCCACAGAATCTTCGCGGACAACAATATTAACGTGGGACTTTGCTGCTGGGGGGGGACCCTCCTGTTTAGCTAATGTTACTCCTACTCTTCTGTGCCCTGTATTTAAAACTTTAGTTGATAAATGTGCTCTGACTGCTTTAAATAGGATCCTACCAAGTGCTGCACTTGGGGGGGATTTGTTTCTTGAACGTAGAGGTGACTGGACAGGGTCCAACCGAGGAGCTGTTGGACCAGGGCTGCTTAAAATGATCTGGGAGAAGTATCATTTCTGTGATTTGCTGCCATCCTCTCCTTTGATGACTGCACAGGGTGTTTCTTATCCTATTAGTGGCTGTTACAGGGTTTAGAGATTCCTAGATGTTAAGGGCAGAGGTGGTTTCTCACTGGAGATGCAGCCTGGCTCTTTGGGCGGGCTGGTCTTCAGGCAGTTGGCTCCTCTCCAGCTGGCAGCTTCTAGGGACAACATAGACTAAAGGGACAATATAGGCTATAGAAACAGACTGTAGTTGGAGATAACAGCCCCCACAGAACCATGATGGAATGGTTTGAGTTGGAAGATCATCCAGTTCCAACCTCCCTGCCATGGGCAGGGACACCTCCCACCAACCCAGGTTGCTCCAAGCCCCATCCAACCTGCCCTTCAGCACTGCCAGTGTCTGAAATGACTCTCTACAGCCAGAAGTCCTTTCCCCATGCAAATAGCAACAAATAATAATCCAAACACTTCTTCAAACTACACTTATTTCAATAAAATGAATTGGTTTGGTCTCTAAGATGTTTCAGCTCATTCTTGTAGATCATGGCTGAATCAATTCAAATGTAGTGGGCAACTGCCACAGGAATGGTTTTGCTCTTGGTTTTCTTGTTCATATCTTGTTAAACAACTCTGGTTTGCCTGGATACAGTCATTCTTGTCCCCTGAAAAACCATTTCATCTCATTTTTCCTTAATATATTGCACTCTAAACTCTTCCATTGGGTCTTCACCATAGTCCTTTTTCAGCACTTTCCATCCAAGTTCAGGGTCACCTTCCTGTAACATGAAAGCCCATCTCTGCTTTTCAACTCTTCAGCAGCCCAGCTGAGCAGGCTGGAAGGAAAAGAAAGCTTTGGGTTCATGTCAAGGAGCTGATGCATCACCCACCACTAACATTTTATTGAAGGCTCTTGGCTCCTCAGCAATTAATTAATGAATAATTAATATTATCCATCAGCTGGAGGAATATACATTTGAGCTGCTGCTCCACAAGCCTCTTGGGAATAGATATCCAGAGGTACAGTGGAAAACAGGCCCATACTGGTCAGTAGTTAGTTGGCCTGTCCAACCATGGGGATGTTGAGCACTGACTGGTGCTCATGGTGCCTCTCAGTGCTGGGAGCCCAATCCTTCACAGGGAGGGATCCAGCAGCATTGGATGGGCTAAATCCTCCTGCTCCATACAGGTTTTTCCAGTGACTATATCCAGAGGGAGTATGAGATTCAAGGAGCTTTCAAGATGGGAAAAAAAACCCCCACACCTTGATGCAGAGCAGTGGTTTTATTTCAAGCTGTGGGTGCCAGGTGAGGCCTCTTTGTAAAGACCACGAGTAGTTATTGCAGGATGGAAGTCTCTTTTTTCAGAATGGATCTAACAAAGTTCAGTGGTCTGAAATGAGGTGTGGATTATAAAGTGTGTGACAAGCAGAGCCTTCATGTGAGATGTTCTTTTCTTTTTGAAAGCAATATCTAAAAGCCAAGTTTCTTTTCTTCTTCCCCTCAGGCACCCATGTAAAAAAGGGGCTGCTGAGGGAGGAGCACCCTGAGCTGTCTATGTATGAGAGAGGTTCTGCAATGAGCTTTGATACAAAAAAACCAGAGACACTGCAGCAGGTTCTAGTTGATTTCAGCCCAAGTTGCTAAGAAATGAGTGAATTCAAGGAGCTGGTGTCTCTGCAGGGACCTGCTGATGGGCTCTTCAAAGGGCTTGCTAATCAGGCTCTCAACAGTGGGAAGAAGGGAACAGATGCCTTTGTTTTCTCTCTCCTGAAGGGACCTCTGAAGTGCCACCTGACCAGATTATCCACAAAGTGTACAAGCTGCCCTTTTTTCCTTCCCCAGTGAGAAATCTAGGGTGTAACCTGTTCTGACTTGGAGCCACTAAGGGCAACGTTTCCAATGCCTTTTTGCTTTGCTTCCCTTGCAGTGCCCAGCGCGACGCCTCAGAACGTCTCCTTGGAAGTGGTTAACTCCAGGGTAAGTCTCCCACATGCTTTTGGCACCTCCTGGCCACCAGGCAGAGAGACCCAACTTGCCCCTTGCAGAAGGTTCCCTTCACTCCTCTGGGTGCTCATGTTCAAAGCAGGAACGAGCCACCCCAACAAGGTTGGCGAGAGAAGCGGCGATGCCTCCAGAGAGGCTTTTGGGCAGCACTGGTATCACTTCAACGTTGGTGAACAAGCATAAACTGGTCCCTGATGGCAGATTAACATCTGCAATAAACCTAAACTGCACTTTGATTAAATGGAACAATCTCAGGGAATAATGAGGAGCTGAGCTGTTCCTGGGGGAGCAGAGATGGGGGAAGGAATTATTGCACAGGCAGGTTGTAGGCGCCACGGGCAGGTCTGTCCTCTTGCTGATGCCAACCAGTGTGGGATTTTTGTGAAAGGTGCATTTCTTCCTCTCCAATCTATTATTTTCCTG